ATGCCATGGTGGGCTAACCCCAGCAGCTGAGCCAGGGTTCCTTCCCAAGCAGCAGCTGCCACCACTGCTGTAGAAAACTAGGATATTCTGCTTCTCCAAGGAGGCACCAGGCTGCAGCCAGGAGAACCAGCCTGCTGCTCATGAAACAGGCAGGATATCCATCTAACACAGGGTCATGGGTCAGCCACCCCCATGCTCCCACTCCACCAATCTTAACCAAAGTCAACACCAGGCTTTCAATACCAGGTAAGAAATAGGCTCATAGTAAAGGTCAGGTCAGTCACAGCAATTCCCCAACCTTCCTGTGTTGCATCCTATGGGGAAAAGAAATCCTGTGCCACGTTGGCAGTGCTGCACCTACATCCTTTGGTACCCCTGCAGAGAGAAAGAAAGTGCTTACACAGGACAAACTTGTCTGAGCAGGGTCCCCAAAAAAGGAGTAGCAGCACCAGCAGAGACCAGACTATATCTGCAGGGCAAGAACCATGCAGGAAGGCTGCTGCAGACCAGCCACCCCGAGGAGCGCCAAGAGAGGCCAGGCAAGCTGCACAGGCACGGTACCACAGCTCATCCATTTCTCTAATCAGACTTTGCAACAGATTTGAGAAATGAGGTTGGGCTGCTTGCTTTATCCCTCTAGAAAATGGGGTCACCAGAAGCATGGGGGTGGTAATGATGAAAAAGACAGGAAAGGACTGATAAACATGTACTTTCTATCCTTTATAATCTGTCCACCTGACTCAAGGCAGCAAAATAAAGGAAAACAGAAATAATCTGCTCTCATTACATATGTGCAAGCCCTTCTAACAATAGATTTACTGCCCTTGCCTGCACCGGGACCAGCACCCTCCCACATAAAATATGTAAAACAGTTTTAAACGGTCCACAGCGAATGCTCACCTCTGCACCACACAGGGGCCAGCTCAGCACACCCCTGCTCGGTGCTCAGTGTAATGTGAGCTTGGGACACTGCTGCAAACCAATTTAGTGGGGAGAAAAATCTGAAGTAGTCTGTAGGGACTCAAAGGGGACCAAACAGCCTTCTCAACTCCTAGTTCCCATTAAGCAAAACAAGATGCATTGCCAGGAAAAAAAGTTACAAAACATGAACCAAAAAATTAGATCTTCAAAAAACTTTCAAGTATCAGCCTGATAACTCTTGCCCCCTTTAGCAGAAAGCCTAGGGAATCATTCGCATTGCATCAGTTTATGAAATTTAACACTAACCATGAAAATACAGTCAACATACTTGCAGATCCTGGTCTGATACCAAAACACTCGACACTCATCCAGCAGATATCAGGACAAGATGGCAACAACCTAGAGAAACCTAGTTTAGCTGTGCTACAAACCCACCACCCCAAGTCCCAGGTAAAGACACAACCTCGTTGTTTACCAGCTGGCCTGGAGTAGCCTAGACCACAGATGTTCCCATAACCAGATCTCTCCTTTGCATCACTGAACATCCTTCAGCTGGATATTGTGGCAGAGGGTCCCACTCCCACTAACTTTATTACAATGCCCAGTCTTATACTTCTCCCATTAGATTCACGGAACACTAGTTTCTTGATCAGAGCACCATGCATTCTTTTATTTTTAAGAAAGCTCCAGGCTGACCCGTCTTAGGGCGCTCACAAGGCAGCTCCTCGCTGTTGGATGCCAGCAGGGACCGGCAGCAGGTCTTGCGGAGCACTGTTGCACAGACCCAGGTCCTGCCGCGAGCAGGGGCGTTGGAGCCAGTCACCCTTCCATCCCCATGACACCATGACCTGAGTCCATGGTCCCAACTAACTGTCAGCCATTGCTGACAGGATTTAGTGGGTCATCTAGAATTGGGAAAAATTTATACTCCAAAATATCCAAAACATCCGTAGCAAGGAGAAGGCTAATATTCACAGCAGCCGTGTGTAGCTGAACACACCCAGACAAAGGTGGAGGGAAGAATTTAACACACACATCTATAAGCTTCCTTTGCAAACATTGTATTTGTTCACAAAAAAAATTTACACTGAAAATTAAAGTTAGTCCTTGAATTACTGTGTCAGGTTCCAGATGAAAAAATCAATCACTGAAGTGTGAAGCAGAGACTTCAGTCCAGTCTTAAGTGCTTCTTCTCACTACATCTTCTCTCTAGAACTGCTATCCACGCCTCCCCAGTAACACACTTGCCTTTTAATGGCCTTATTCATCCTTCCCATTCCCTCCGGCACCCAGCTCAGCACACCAAGGCGACAACGTCCAGTACCACCATCGAGGGAGGAGGGCTCCAGAGGCAGCGCATGTCGCAGCAAGACCACGCTCATTCTTCTCAGCAGAAAATTGACTGAAGAGGGCCAGAGAAAGAGAGGTGCTGGAATGCACACATGCCCCCCCCCAGCAGCGTATGGGCCTCTCTGCACTAAGATATAAAAAGGTATGATCATCAGGTCAGCATTAACGCCGTTCAGTCAGAATGCTAAGAGCCAGCTGCTTTATCTGGTCTAGTTTGGTTTAATGAAGTTAGCCAGGTGCTACCACCGCACTTTAAGTCCTAGTCTAGACAGAGTTGAAGATACTAAATAGGGTCTTTAGTATTGCTAGGAGGAAGCGAGCCTGGTATTTCAAGAAAAAAAGGGGCATGGGGGGTTCTGTATGGAAACAAACGTAAGTAAAGACTTCAGGAATCTGGGCTAGTGTTTCTTATCACCTCTCTCCCAGCATCACCAGCACATCACTCCAGTCTAGACCCTTGCTGGCTTTTATTGACATGCGTTCCCTGGTGATGCATCATCCTACCACGAGCCACACAGGCCCATAACACCCCACAGCAGAGAGAATCACAGGGATTCACAACAGCCACGTGCCTTGGGCTGTATCTGTGTCATTCCTCGTCTCAGAAGCATCTCTATGATAATTGTTCTGGTTTCCTCAACACTTTGCAGCCTGAGTGGACCAACGATAAAGAGCTGCCTGTGGAGACAGATCACAAGATGTTGGAAGTGATTCAGGAAGTACTACAAAATATCAGATGCAATTCCCTCACAAGAGGCTCTGCTACAAAAACGCTCCAGCAACAGTGGCATGTTCCCAGCGTTACTCATGCTTCCTGCCATTGCTGCTACAAGTGGATCTGTTATTACTTAAACCTCTGCATCTGCTGCTCTGTGAAATGTTATGTGCCTTCCTCTCAATACACTGCAAGATGCTGGGACAGCAAAGCAATCCAAGACAGGCAAGGTGTAAAGGAGGAGCAACAGACACACAGTGCAGAACAGTCAGTACTAAGGAACACAGTTAAATCCAAGTGAGAGATAAAGGTGCTGACTCAAATAAACAATTTATCAATTTAAGAAAAATACCAAGAACTCCTAAAGCACAGCCTCCACTCAGCT